CGGGGTGGGGCTTTAAACCGGAATTTCTCTTTGACACGTGGATTTGAAACAAAAAAAAAAAAAAAAAAAAAAAAAAAAGAAGACATTAATGTTTATAATTGCTGAGATCAATGATTTCAGAGTGCACTTAGGAAGTCAAGAAAATGGCTGCTCGAAGGAGGCATATGATGGTTGTACAGGTGTGGGCTGCAGTCCTAGAGGTGTGTTTCATCAAGTGAGATGGTAACTTCAGGGGTGTATTATTGTGATGAAATTTAAATTAAAAAATAAACACTCTCATGAATTTCAGTACCCCAAACATGCAACTCCCCCAACTGTATGCATTCATAATTTTACAGTGTTTTCAAGGTATTACTTGGTCCTTGGACAGTGAATTATGTGTACGGCGCTGAGAGCCTGCATCTGCTCACGCTCACCTCGGGCTGGAAGCGCTGGCAGGAAACCCCGTGGGGCTCAGCGAGGCCGCAGAGCTCCCACCTTACGTAGCAGACAATCTGATTTTAAAAAATGTTATATGCAATCTCAGCACCTGTTTCTTCCTTGAGAAGCAGTATATTTTCCACATATCTCTTTCAAATATGAGTAAGAGTGTTCATGGGGTTTGGGTTTTTATTGGTGAATACTTTGTTTAATAGTTTTTCATTTTTTTGGAAGTATATTCAAATTGCTTCATGTGAAATACACAGATGTGCTCTTTTGTAATTGCAGTTACAATGTCCGCAACGTTACGGAAATGACTGCAGGTTTTTTTGGCTAAAAAAAAAAAAATTAGTCCATATTGCTGGGGATTTATATTTCTGATTTTCAAGCGCAACTTTTCATAGTCAGAACTGCTACTTTTCTTTTAAGCTGCTGCTATGAAAAAGAGTCCCAGAACTTATTTCACAGAAACTATAAAGTCATTCAAGGCAATGAAAGATCTTGCTTTTTTTAACCTTTCAGAAAGTCACTCAGTTGAGCAGTCAGGCTGTATTATTCTATATCTTGTCTAACATGAGGAAACAGTCCCAAAAGAAAGATATCCCAAATTAACGCCACACTTCGTTAAATAGAGACATTCTTGGTTTTCACCAAGCTAATTCGATCCAGTTCAGTTAACTCATTTTTTTTGTACTCGGATCACAAAAGGCAGCCATGAATTGCAGCAGCAAGTTCATCATGTGTTTGACACATCAGTGTGAAACTAAAAGGCGGGCTGGGAGGGAGGGTTCCTGCCTTTAGCTTTTTAGACAATACGCGATGAAAGAGGCCCCTCATTCAAAACTGGTCTCCAGCAAACTAGGCAGACTGCTGCGGATCACTGTTACAAACAGGTATAATGGGAATTAGCCAGAACTTGATTCGGCAGACACCTCTTGATTTCTAGTTGTGACTGTTTGCGTAATCCAATCTTGATCTAATATCCTCAGTCCAGCAGATGGTTCACAGGACTTCTGTATGAGCAAAAGACTGCCTACTTTGGAAATGAAAAATAATGTATAGAATAAAATATTTTAATGTAAAAAAAAATTGTAAACAAATTTTTTTTTTTTTTACATTTTACGTAATTTACATTTGTAAATTATGTCCTTTCCATTTTTACACCATGAAATATATGGCTCATAAATTCAGATAACAGTGATGAACAGTCCCAAAATACACGTTCCTTACTTTTTTAAAATAAAAGAAAAAAAGCGTAAACATATTTTTTTTAACTTTTTGCATTATTGTCAGTCAACAAACATCACCCTTGACAGCCAGGACATGAAATCTAACTAAATAGTAGATTCTGTGGTGTGAAAGAATGATGTCTGCTCTGATGCTACCAAGTAAATAGTATTTGTGAGCCATAGCTAAATTCTGAATCCACATTTTCACAGAGTTAGTTCTGCAGACGTGCTGGAGCAAGTACATAAGAACATAGCAGCAGTGATTTTTTTAAGATATTTGCTAATAGTTACATCAACCTGAGAGACCAGTGGACTGTTTCTTAGGCCTGACACTTTGACAATGGTTGCTTTTACCAATATCAGCTGCACTTTTGCAGTTGGGGAAGAAAAAAATCTCAACACAACAACATCATGAAATAGCTTTGCTTTCTGGATATGTGGGATAATCACTAGGTTTGTAAAATAATTGATTATTTACTCAATTTTAAGTACAAAACAAATGACAGAAGATGGCTTTTTAGCTCTGACAAGCTGGTGATCTTACTGGAATTTCTAAAGGACCTTTCTTCTCTAGCAGCTGCCATGAAAGCTGGGAATACATGTTAGTCTGCAGGGTTTTGTTGTTGTTTTTTAACAGTCTCATCCCAGGGACCTGTTCCCAGAATATTTCATTTAAAGCATCTCTTTTTGCTTAGCAGCTCGAGGTAAGTCTAGAGGTAAGAGAAGAGCTAGGGAAGCCCAATCCGTAATATCCTTTCTTGCATTTCTTAATTACTTGTTCAAATTTTATGACAAAAGGAATATGAAAAATACAAAAAATTGTGAACAAAGAATATATGAAAATTTCCATTAACTTTGAATATTTTGCTGCTTTTCCTAAGTTCAACAAATCCAGAAAATAAATCATACTAAATATTTTATAGCTATATACCTAATTCAGTAGTGTCTTCTAGTAGATGTTTTGGTCAGATAAGTATGCACTGCTAATATTTGGGGTTTTGGTTTTTTCCCACAGTTTTAGCATGAATCCTTCTGGCACTGAGGACCTCAGGAAAACAATGGTGAGTCATGAAGTGTTATGGAAAGCCATCGGTAAATGCCACCTAATTGGTGCTTGACACAGTATAAGCTATTATTCTTGTTTAACCTCTTATAAGGAAATGTTGGGGTTTTTTTTGTTTTTCTTTTGACACATCCAGAAAATCTAATTAGAAAATTACAGGCTTAATATAAATTTGGAAATAAAGAAGAGTTTTACACTCAATATGTGGTGTACTTCTGGTATGATGTTGCAGAGAAGAAGGGAAGAAGTCGATCTTTGCCCAGAAAGTAAAAGGAAAACTGTTGCTTTGGGGTATTTCAGATGACTCTAGAGACGTGATAGTCAGGTGAGGAACTCCGCATTAGGCAATGATGTATTAGTTAACCTAACAGGAGTTCCCTATCGCTATAGTCAGAGACTTGAGGACAGTCTTTAGATGGTCAGTCAAAATGGAAGTAATGCACTGATACATGACAGGGTTAATAACACAGACGATAAATGAACAGCCTCCCATAAAACACTAAAAATAGAAATACCAGCAGTTATTATTCAAAATACTCTTTGGACTCTAAAAATACCTAGAATAAATTGTGTACTAAGAAAAGACCAAAAACATCCACAGATTTCCTATGCAGTGTCTTTGAAGGAAAATATGGTCTTACTAGAATTTGTTCTGTGAATAGATGAAATCTTTAAAAGTGGGTTTGTTTTCAATCTTTAAAATATATAGAAAACAATTTTCACAAGCAAATATGACTTTGTACTGTTTGGGTTTTGCTGGTTTATGTAAATGACTTATAATAACATTTGATGTTATTGTAAATGCCCAAGTTTTTATAATGTAAGTAACTGGTGGGAGATGTCAGAGTATATGAAGGCTGCCTTTGATCAGATAGTAAACTGAATTCTACCAGGCGGTTACTTAATCTCTGACAAAAAGCGACATCAAAAAAATTGACTTAACTTAGCAGCTATTGTCTGTAAAGTAACCATAATTACAGTTTCTATGTGCTTGCAAATGTAGTGCCGCAAATCACGTAATTTATTGCTGGTAGAAGCATTGGTTTAATTCTTTTAAGAAATAAGATGTGAATTGTTTTATTTAAAGGATTTAAAGGTGATAAAAGAAGTCCTTGATGATTTTTCTTTTGGAATACCAGCTATCCTAAATGTCAGTTGTAGGATTATGAGGTGGTGCTCATTTAATACAAAATACAAATTAGGAGGAGAAGGAACTATATCTCAACCATACTTTTGAATGAAACCATTTGATTTATTTTTTTTTAAATATTCAAGATTGCTTTCTAAGGTGTTTGAAGTCATTTATTATTAGGTTCTGCAGTAATAGCCCTCACCAAGTTATTATATTTCTTCCTTATGCATCACATTTAGTAATTATGTTTGTATGTCTTCTACTCTGGTGCCAACACCTGTCTCTGAAAGCAGTGTTTAAATGGGAGCAGTAGCCAGTTGAAGGGGCAGCATGAGCTCTTTAAGGCCTAATTAAGAACTGAAAGGAAGATGAAGTAAGTAGGACAAAAGATGTGAAAGTAGCTTAGGTGATATTCCCAGAGCAGAATTCCTCATTAGAACAATAAAGAGATGATCAGAGATTGCCAGGCCTTCATTTTATCTAGCTCCAGTTCCTCTGGCTGTCAGCGTGTACCCCAATAGTATTTACTAGCTGATACGACCGTTCTTTGCATAGCTTGTTATTTAGAATTCATTTTCTTAATAATTCATTATAAGATTAATGTTTTATATTAAAATTGTATTATCTGGTTTTGTAGAGATATAGTTGTTCCTTATACATTTAAGTATTACTTGCTTGCTCAAACTGAACATTTAAAATCTTAACTTTAACATCCTTAAACATTGAAGTATCACTTGTTTGCTCAAACTGAACATTTAAAATCTTCTTAACTTTAACAATATTTATTTCTAAGTACTAACATCCTTTAACTAGAATTTTCTTGTGTAATTAATGTGATAGGTTATTCCCCCCAAAGATCTGTATGGAGCCTGTGTATGACAAAACATCATTAAAGCATATGACACACAACTTTTCAGTAAACTTTATATAATAATTAAAGACATCATTGCATCTTAATTCCTGTTCCTTTGCCAAATCCGAAAATTAGGCAAATCCTATATTTTAGACACGGAAGTGTTAATGATGGTTTTTCCAATGTGTACAAAAGTTTAGTACCATAAAGAGAAAATTTTACTTCCTTCTTGTAGAAGAAAATGTGCTAAAAATACAATGACCACAAAGTGAAGTTATTTTCTCCTCTATACTTGTTGGAAATCAATTACTAACCGATTTATAAATCTCATCATTAGCCATTTTAATAAAGTGGGAGTTATTGATCACTTACAATCCTGTAACTTGGTAAGTTTAAAATACTGAATACACATACATAAACGTGACATTAAATATCTCAAATGTAGTGAGAAACCCTTAAAAGCACATATTTTCGAGAGCTACCATTAGAATATAATTGGTGGAGAGAGGCTGATTGATCTGTCATACTTCAGCCTATTTGCAGTGCACCACCACTTTTAATTAGGTTTATTTGAAAACTTTGGCCACCTGCATATTTTAATGATTTGACATATGCCAATGCGCAAATATGGAGCTCTACGGAAAGAAAAGGAACGGAGCGTGGAAAAGGAATGAATGTGACTTTATGATGTGATGTGCTTCCTAGCTGTGTAAGCTTTATCATTTTTAATGACAAGTTTCTACTGTAAACAGAAGCTATCTTGTGTTCTTCTCCTGCCCTGTTAGAGGTGCAGGATTTGAGAGGTTAGATTATTTTACTTAATTAGAGGTTCCCTATCTTTTAAATGTCTCCATTTCTGAATCAGATAAAACTTACTGCTTAGCATGTCTAACAGCGCTAATGTGTTTATAAACCAACTCTCACAATCTTTTTCTCAGTTATACTTTTCCAAATTTTTCATAATCTGGTCACTTAAGGTCACAGCTAATTCTTTTTGGCAGAGAATAAGACATTCAAGTTCATAGTATTTTGGATTGCGTGTTGCCCTTTGTTAAGGGGACGAATTTGTCCATCTCTGCCAATACCTGCACTTACTGAGTCATTAAAAATCATTACAGAAGCAATTCTGTTTTCCCTACTGCTTAATTCTGGGCCCCTCCTGCTTTAAAGCAAGCAAGCAGGCATGCAAGATCTTTTAGTAGTACATATTTCTGTCTTAAGTGCTCTGGTGCAAATAAGATGCAGCCATTTAACTTCACCTGAAATTTAAAATTGAAAGTTTTATTATCTGATTCAGAGGCCAAGGCCTGGAGGACCACTGGTGACTAAAAATAGCATATGAAAGGCAGATGAGGGCTGATGTCATTTAGAGCTAAGTAAAGGTTTTGCTATGATACGCTCGAAAGTCAAGAACTCGGGAAAGTTACTATAGCACTTGAATTCTCAGGTCTCTTTCTCTTGTTCTTCTATAATTAAGGTTACCACACAGCTGGTTTCCCAAAATGGAGCTGCTAACTGTTCTTGTGGTTACTGCTCATATGGTCGTTAACTGTGTATACATCTCACCAACAGCAATGTTTTTATCTGAGATGGCGGTGGGGGAAACTTACTTCAAACTGGGCAGCCTGTCTCCAGTTGTCTGCTCCAGTGGGGTTATTGGAGGGAAAAGCTCTAGAGCAAATGGATGTATGCTGTCGAAGAGATGTTGCTTCTGTCAAGAGGCATGAGAAACATATGAAAAGCGATTATCCATCAATTTGTTCATAACGCTGAACTATTTAATAAAATCTGGTGGTTTTTTTTAAACTTCTCTGTAGGATGGAAATCCTTTCGACGCCACTGCAGGATACCGTAACCTTACTTATGAAGAGGTTTTGCAGGAGCTGGTGAAACATAAAGAGCAACTTAAGAAGAAGGACACCCATATTCGTGAACTTGAGGATTACATTGATAATCTTCTTGTACGAGTAATGGAAGAAACACCTAGTATTCTCAGAGTGCCATATGAACCTTCTCGAAAAGCTGGCAAATTTTCCAAAAGCTAAGATATTGATACTTGATGGTACTTTCTGCTGAATGCATCAGTGGAAGGAAATCACACTTCAACATTTTGACTTCTCTTCATTCCTTTTCTCCTAAGGAATTCCAGGAATCAGGGGAGGACGGGACTATGACGTGGGGTTTTTTTGTTTGTTTTTTACTCCAAACACTAGCAGGGACTGCCAAAAGTAATATTCTGTTAGATCACCTAAATAACTTTTTTTTTTCTTTTTGAAAACACCTTTCGGTACAGAATACTTACAGTAGAGTTAATAATACACATTAAATATGTCCATGCAGTTTATATAATAGCTTAGTGTTCACCATGTGGCAGTTTCAACTGGGAAGCCTGTGCTGTTATGAATGTTTTCTTGAATGATTATTGGTATTATGCAAATATATCGATTCTGATATTACAGCATGCCATCAAGACCACTGTTTTCAAGCCAGTGCAGTATGCTTTACTAAACCTAAGTGTGGTTTGTTGCAATGGAATGTAGTTTGTTCTACACATATTAGAGGAAAACAGTGATGCACAATCTTTGCAGAGTAAATGCTGTATTCTAGACAATGTGCTTTTTGTATAACAATGTAAAAAATACCATGCCATTTCAGTAACATGCTGGAATCAGTTATTTTACACTTAAATGCTGAATTTTGTGTATAATGACTGAACTTTGGTAGTGAGCTCATGACATAAGGTTGTTTTGAGGATCTTTTTGTATGAAGTTATTGCATGCTTTTTTATACGTTAAAGTACTTTGAACAATGTTAATAGAGTCGGAGGTAGGACTGGAGAAAGGTATGGAATATGAATAGATAGGAATACTTTGTTCAGTCAAAGTCTACTACAGTGAAAATGTAGGAGAAATGAACAGACTGACTTAAATAGACGTGATAATTCAAAAAATATAGAGCTGACTGAATTTAAGGTTGAGCTTTACATGACATATATCTGTCTTAGGTTTTTTAAATCTTATGACAACAAAGTATATGCCTTTAGGCTATGTTGCTTAAACACATACAGAGTACTTAGAAAGGCTTTTCATGAAAAAAAATCTGTAGTCCTTGTGAGTACTTCTAAAAGTCAGTTTTCATTGAGTCAAATGGAAGAAGAATGTAGTAAATGTCTTCCTGATCATATAATAATTGTTTGTAAAATGACATATGAAAAAGGTATCTATTATTCAATAAATTGGCAAAATATAGTGATGAACGTATAATGGGAAAATACTGTAGGAGAAGAATCCTCACATTATTAACATAAATAGATTTTAATTCTAATTTTAATTTCCTTCATAAGAGTCTCAGTTGGATTGTCTGTTGCTGTGAAACAGTAAGATGATACTAAAAAAAAAAGTACAGAGAATATTTTAGATTTGGATTTAAGAAAACTGACTGTCTTCTCCTCCTCCTCCTCCTCTTTTTCTACACCTGATCTGTTTTTTTCTTACAGCATCATGTAATGGCTGTTGCCGAGGAGGAAAAAAAGCTTGAAATTAAATTCCATTTTGTTGTAGTTGTTGTAAAAGATCTAAATATGTTTTCATTTTTAAAACTGTAAAAATTAGTAATATCTTGAATAATTATGATTTGGAAAAGTTGAAGAAGTTCTACTGCTTTTGACGATGGTAGTATTGTATGACAGCACAGAATTATTCTTGTTAGGAAAAAATACTTCTTTGTACAATTGTTCTCAGATTTCATTTACTTATTTTTGGCTTTTTCTTCATTCTTTCTTCTTTTTGTTTTTTTCTCTTTTTTTTTTAGCAACTACCTCCCATCCCTCTAGCGCTATGTCCCTAAAATGTATGCGGTTTGAGTGTGCCCAACCCACCGCTGGGATCCATTAGCGTAGATCATTGTGCCTGGATGGAGCCTGAGCGGT